CAGAAAAAAGTTGTCTTTGACTCTGGCGACACAACTACTGTACATGGGCCTCTAGTTACAGCACATTGTTAGACTAAAAATGTAAAAACTACAACACAAGGCAACACGTTAGAAAACCGCTTTCCAGGCTGTTTGTTGAGCTACAAATTATGCAGCAAAAATACAAATCACCTTCAGCAATTGGCATGACCACAACCGCATCAAACTGTTTATGTTAATAACACCCTCCACCTCAAGGAGAGTTCTAGTTACTAGTTTGTCATTCACAGGCCAACTTTCTGCTTCGTTATTCCTTGCCGTATGTGTGTGACCTCTCCCTGAGCTCCTCTCAGAGTGTGCCTGACCTCTGCGCGTCTTTCTCCACCATCAACCGTGGAGGGACTCCCGAAATATCTAATTGTATTCATTCATTTTCTGTGCCCGGCAAGGAAAGAGAGAGAGAGAGAAAGAAAGAGAGAAAGAGAGAGAGAAAGAAAGAAAGAGGGAAAGGGGGGAGGGAGAGAGAGAGAGAGAGGAAGAGACGCGGATAGTCTGAGAGCCGAGAGGCAACATGGGAGAAAGGCGAGGAGGGACATGGGGAAGAAGAAAGGGCAGAGGGGGTGGAAGGAATGGCCGGGCCGTCTCCTCGGCGTTACAGCTGAGATGTCATTAGAGCTGCTGTCTGTCCCCTCATTAGAATAAATACTCACAAGCAAAGACAGTCAGTGAGAAAGCAGAGGCTCAAATCTACAGAGAGAATTGTCCCTGTATTTTAAGTTATTTCAAGCTGAAGGAACTCTTTGAGGACAGATAAAACTTACTACACTTCTCTAAACTGTCCCTCAAAATAACGTTTTGATGGGCAAAATGCTAAGCATGCTAAGCATTAAGGCACCATGAGAATACCTGAAAGAAAATCTGAACCACGAACCGAAAGTGTGCATGTGTTAAAGAGAGAGATATGTAAACAAAAGAAAAGATATTCAGATATTCACGAAAGTAAAAACAGCAGGTTTCTGGCTTCATGCTGGAGTTGTGATACACAACTGTGGACTGAAGCCAGGATAACAGCATGGAAATCCCCTTAGCCCCTACCCTAGTCACCAAAAACACAAACACCCAGCAGAAATGACTGTGGCACCGCTAATACAAATTACGATACACTAAACCAATATAAAATTCCACACTAATCTACCAATTGCTTATAATTCCGGCTGCTGGAAAACCAAGTAGAAGAAATTTTAACCTGTGAAAACATTTTTGCAGACAAAAGGTTCCATTTCAAGTTTCCAAGTCCTTATCTGAGATTGCCCATCCAATAACACAGGCAGTCTGAGCTGTAAAAATGTCTACACCAGTGTGTTTTGTCTAGCAAGTGACTCAAACAACAGCAGAAGTGACTCCTTGAGTTTCTAGACCTTTTGCTTATTTTTGTCTACATCTAGTTCACACTTTCTCCAATGATTTAGCAAGAAATGTCAAGACAATTTAACATTTGACAGTTTTATATTTACTTTCTTTTGGTCACTGTTTGAATACTATTACTACTATTTTTGTTTAAACTTCAAATTAACAGACACACCCCACAAAAAAGCAAACAGATGTGACAATGCTTTGTAAGTCAAACTGTTTGTAGTTGGTATTTTCCATCTTAGGTTTTAATTTCTTTCTGTGTATTTCAGCTGATTAGGTAACCAGAGAATAATATATCGCACACGCCGATACAACTTGGGCACAATTAATTCAAAGCAAAACAAATTTTGTGACAAAACCAAACTCAAACTACAGCTTTAGTGTGATGGATTATCTGGCTGGGGCAACTTTCAACTCTGTAGAAGGTGCAGTTTCATACGGTGCAAAAATGAATGCCGACAAATGGCTTTTTTTCTGGTGGAAGTAAAATGAGCCCTGAACGACTGTGTTCAGACAACAAGAAAACAATGTAAAGAGAGAGTTAAACAAAAACCAGAAACTTTGGATTTGGAATTATGTTGCCTGCTAACATTATTGATGATAAATTACATTATTAGTTTATTTATTGTATATTATTTAAAAAGTCACGTAACTTTGGTTCAAATGTGGCTGTTTGTATGCATGGGGCGTTCACACAGTAAATTTTTGGAGCAGCCGTACTTTTTGTGTGACTGTGGAGCCTCAGAACAAAGGCAAACGCAGGCAAGTTACGTTACAGTGCCACACCAGCTTTCTACAGTAATGCATGAAGAAAGGGACTCAATATTTATTAACTGAGTCATCAATAAGACAAGTTTGCTATCTCTCCCTCGTGCCGTCTCCTCTCTGCTGTTACATTACCTTTCTGGCTTCCTGCCTCAGCCCTGCAGGGGCGAGAGTCAAACAAACTCTATTTAGAGTAAGTAGAACGGAGTGACTGGTGTTAGCAGCATTACAGCCTCTGTGAAAACCTGTTTCCTTTCCTCAGGCAAGTCAGAGATTCAGAAATGGATGAGTCTCAGGAAGCTATCTATTTCTCAGATTTTACTTTGGACCCAAAGAGAGTAAAAGGCACGACATGCATGCAGCCAAGTAAATCACAAAGTTCTTGTTTTCTCCCCTCTCTCTTTCAGCGTTAGTGTGTCGGATCTGAGATAAACAGTAGTTTTACTTAAATTCCCACTTTTTTTTCTAACTACTTCTTTTGCTTTACTGAAACTGAGAAAACGTGTCAGCACATCTGGAAGATATCAAATGAACTGAGCGGCCAGACAAGTCAAAACTTCTTGGGTTGAAAAAGAAAATGTACTGTCTAATGAAAGTACGTCTATCAACAGCAGAAATCAAGATTCAACTCAAAATTGTGTTTGCCTCTGTTGAAGAAAGCGGCCCATAAATAAACAGCACAGCCGGCCAAAGTCAGAGCAGAGACCTAGACCACAACAGTCATGGTCTACGGTATATCAGGCCGAGAATCTACACACCCCGCTAGACTGGCCCCGACTTCAGGAGAGGGCTTACAGTCAGCCCTCCGTTTGTAGTCATGACCACTAATTGCTTCAAGCAATAAATCATGTTTTCCAAAACTCCTAACTGAATATAAATAGTTGTGCAACAAATTCAGCATGTGCTATTAATGGCTTTGTGTGCACTCGGAGGGTAAGCTGAGGATTTTATTCAACAAATACTAAGTGCTGTTGGCAGTTGAGTGAAAGATCTCTGTAAACTCCACCAGCAGTGTTTAGACTTAATAAGCCCGGGACAAGGCTGTACAGTCTAACTCCATAAGGGACTTTTAGTGGGAAACGCTGTCTCGATAAACATGTACACTGAACGCTGAGGTTGACTCAAGGCTGTCCGAGCAGAGAAGGGTTTAACTCAAGGATTGTAGCACATCTGAGAAACTTTTAACTTTGCTGACGTTCTCTGGTGTGGCCCATCGAGTCAACAGCACATAAAATCCTCACTTCACTAATAGTCTTAAGTTGAACACACGTTGGTCCTTTTATTAATATAAATTGAAAAATAGAAAGCATGCACGTTTTATTCCTAAAAAATTTGGCAATATTTAAATTAATGGTTTAAATATTTTTTATTTTGAGACGTTAGGTCATGACTTGTGCCACTAAACTTGTGAATGAGCAAGCATTCACCAATATGCAAAAAATAGAGAAGAAAATATGTGAAGTTTAATTTAGGGAAACTTTTTCCATTTTAGAATGAGGAGGCTGCTTACTGTTACACACACTGAAAGTTTTCTAAAGTTTTGAATGGTAAAGTTCATGGTTTTCTCACTACACTAGTTTTATGCATTTACGCTACCATTGGTCTGATGTTACAAAGTTTATTTGCATTCTTTAGGGTTCATTTGAGCAATTAAATCTAGTATTTCATGGGTGTTTTTTCATTCAAATGTGCAACATAATGCTGCACAAAAAAAAGAGAAACTTAACCAAAATGACTAAAATTTTGCTCAACTTCTCAAGGAAAAGTTTATTCTCAAGAACTATTTTAAAGATTAATAACGTATAGAACAAAAACAAGCACTAAAGAGCTATTAAACTCTGATGTAAAAAAAAAAAAAAAAGCCTACTACACACAACAGTGTGTCTTTGTTACTCAAAAATGGCGTTATCATTTTATGTCATCTGTCTGCCATGGTGCCTTTATAATATTCATAAAGCACTCCACTACTTTTAGATGTGCTGAGACCGTTGTATGGCCATACCGTGCATTATGAAAAGTGTACTGGATTTCGCGAAGGAGGTGGTTAATATTGACTGAGACATTTTGCTCTCACTGCCTACATTTAGTATCGCTTGATAGTGATAAATCCACACAGTAAATACTCTAAACACAGAGCCAAATAAAGTAATTCTCACTGCACAGGCCTGTGCGTCTCTCCAACTTAAGTTTTCCCGAAACTAGGGGATGAACCTACGCAGTCTGAACAAAGTAAATTAATGAGGACATTTAATGGATTTTGCGCTTCTTTCTTTTTTTTTTTTTTTGGTGTTTAGCCTAGTGGAGACCAGTTCGATGCTGGTGTTAATGGGTCCAGTAGGGTCGTGCAAACACCCAGCTTGAGTCCGCCGGACAAAGAAACAACACAAGATAATGCTCGAGGTTTTATAGCCACGTCCAGCTCGGACCCTGTACCTACAGCTTGAATAATTCCCAAAGGAAGGTGAATTTCCTTATCTGGACAATACTGACAGCGGGTGATGCGATGCAACGCCAAGCGGTGAATGTTTTGTCCGGGCTTTATTACGCACGGTTTTAATCTATAGTTTCCTCGGAGGACCCGCTGTCAATGAGCAGCCACGTATTAGAAATAAGAAACAGTAGCCTTTTTTTACACTCCTGCTCCTATCCCCAGCTATAGCCTGTACCTACAGCTACTGGCATTATGCCCTCACTGCGGAGAATAAACACCGATGTGGTCCAGCGAACCTGCGGACCCCGCGGTCCATGCAGATGCGAGGAGACAGAACATCGCCGACCCTCCGCGGTAAACAGGCCCGGTGTAGAGGAGAGGAGGGTGTGGGTGGGGTGGGGGGTACACTTACTTGGCGTTGGTCCGGTTCCAGAAGACGGCGTAGCGGTCGGCCACCACTTTGGAACTGGGCTCCTGGCTAAATACACACATCAACAGCACCAGGCAGACGAAGAGGACCATTTCCATTTGCAGCATCACTACAGCGAAACTTCGGCACGTATTCCTCTTCAGTGTTGGGTCAGTCGGTCGAGTTGTACGGGGCGCTTTAACCGGGACAGGTGATGAGTCTCATTCACATGTGGCCGTGTGTTTCTGGCGCAAGGTTGTGAATGCTAAACAAACGCGCACAACATAGAAAAAGGGCGAAGGCAATAGCGAGACCATTCAATGTGGGGGGGGGGACACTTGAGATGACACTTGTTCAGGTTGGCGGAAATTTAAAGTTACAAAGCCCACGCGTCGCGGTGTTTTCTCTCCTGTGCGGGTCGAGGGTCCGGATGAATCATAGGCTTTATTTCATGCAGGATGTCAGCTCGGACAAATCCGTGGTGGGCTGGCAAAAAAAAAAATAATAATTTTCCCCACTAATGCACAAACAGTGAGATCAACGCACGCACACACACAAATGCGCAGCACAACAGGCAGTGTGATAATGTCCCCCTTATGCGGGGAGCTACTGGATGTAGCCTGTGTCAGGGCAAATGACAACTGCTGAACACTTCTTCTTACTCCAAAACCCAAAGCGCGAGGGGATTAGTCTGTCCACGAGGTGATGGAGAAAAGAGAGAGAGAGAGAGACTCAATGACGCCGTGTGGCGCACGTCAGATGTCCATGTTCTCCAGGCAACTTTTTAAAGCCATACAGTCAGTCAGTCGCTGGCAGATGAATGGTGATGTTAGACTCGGTCTTTCGTCTCCAGCGTGAAAAAAAAAAAAAAAAAAAAGACTGTTATCCTTTCTCTGCGATTTACCGGAGGTGTCACGGCCGAGGTGGGGAGGAGTCCTTCTCGGTGTAGGAGAGAAGACGGACAGCGTTGTGTTTTCTCATGCGCTTCTCTCCGCGAAGACGCTTGTTTATGTCCGCATCCCAAAGTGTCCTCCTCATATATAAGCCATCGTGCGACGTGCGGGAATGAAAAAAAACTCGCCTTCTCCCATGTGCATGCAGTGTAGTCTTCCTCTTTCTTGTGTTTGGGTTTTAAAACGCCGGGACACGCAGAAAAGGTGAGGGCAAAGGCAGCTCCAGACGCCGACTGAGAGAGTGGGTTTGGTTACGGCGGAGCGGGGGATAGTCCCATTGGTTTGAAATTATTTGAATGGGCGTCACTCGAACAAAGCCAAGCCCCTCCCCCGTCTAAAACCGTGCTAATTCAATTACGGAGAGGTAGAGCTGGAGAAGGGGACGGGGGGAAGAGGTGCACAGGACAGGGACCGCTTTTAGACACTCTGTCAGATCCAACCGATAAGTGCGCACGACGCTATTTAATTACATGCAAGCGTACGCAGCGGAGCAAAGAAGACCATGGACTCCAGTTACGCTCTCCGAGTTCAATTTAACTATTCAAATGTGTATTTTTCTAATAACAGTAAAGAGGTCTGTGTTTATGTATCAACATATGCTAATAATATTTTTTTCAAATCTAAACATTAGTTCCGAATAGAATATATAATAAAGGAACATGGAAATTGTTGCCAATGGGCTGTTACCTATTCAGTTGTCAATTAATTTTTCCCCCAATATTGCTAATTTATAACTAATTTTTGTTCATGGTTTAATTGTAATTGTGAGGAATTTCAACTCCAGAAAGGTCACATCTATCCCACAGGTTTATGAAGACAGAGAGGCGGAGGGAGGCTGGTGGCTCACAGCTTCTGCTCTGTGCGATGGTGTAATGCTGAAATGCTGAGAGGTGATGGCCACGGGGCGCCGGGGGTAGATGTGACAGGGCAGCCTGTTGCGGAGAGCAGACTGAAGAGGTTCAAGGCGCCGCTCCAGCGCCCAGACGCCCCGCAGTGGCGAGCTGGCGGGATGGCTGACTCAGCCGGGGACAAATCCATGTTGGAGTGCGCCAGGGGAACCGCGTCTGTCGTCGCCTTAAATCAGACAAGTGCTCACAAGGAGGATTTATGAAACTTTAGAAAATGAACAGCAGGCCTGAATTCAGGTGGGAAATCCCAAACGAAAATAACTGCACCATGAATTCATACGGATACAATGTGCAGGACGCCTGGGGTGGATTTACAGTGACCATGGCGTGTTTAAAAAATTAGGAATGTTATGTGGAGTGGATGCTTTTTTTTTTTTTTAGGTGTGTGTGTGTTTGGGGGATTAGATATGACTAATGTGTTTTTTCAAAAGAGATGTGAACTTATTTATAAAGTTCCTTTTCAGCCCGTATGTCATTTAGAGCAACAATACAGTCTAAGTAGAAGGAAAATGTGAAGTCCCAGTGGCAAATTGTAAGAGGATACCAGCACAGAGCAGGGAGTTAAAACATAAAAACCTAAAAGCTCATGATTCTAAAGAGGTAAGTGAAGATTTTTTTTAGTGTGTTCATGGTTTCTTCTTACTTTGTCTGTAATGTGTGTGTGTGTAAGGCAATAAGTAATATAAAAAATAGTAAATTTAGAGTAAAAAGACCTTAAATGTCACATCAGTATTTGTATCCTTGTAAAGTCAAGAAAATCCAATGCAGTTATACCTAAATGCCTACTGTGGGTGCGTGTGTGTGCAACAGGTGCTGCTGTTTGCCTTCAAGGATACAGGAGGAGCGAGGAGACGGGAGAGGGAAGACAGAAGGAGGGAGGAAGGGGTGAGAGGGCAGCTAATATTTTAAGATAATCCTCTTGACCTCTTCCTATGGACTAATGTAAACTTCACTTACAGCTATCACCGCACACACACACACACACAGAGAAGGGCACTTGCACGGCAACCACACACGCACACAAGCCCCCAAAACCACCACACAAACTCAGGTTATCACGTACACACACATTTTCTCAAGTATTTTTTGCAACGCACACACACACACACACTGAGGACACTATCAACTTCCAGGGGAGGAGGGGTGGGGAGGTCAGCTTGGAGGTCAGTGAACATGGCTGTTTTCACACCCACTTTACAGCCATGACTGCATTCCACTCCTGCTGCGTCTCGTCTCTCTCTCTCACACACACACACACATATAAAAACTCACTTGATAACAAGCATATATGACTGACTAGCGCACACAGCGTATACCCCCAGCTGCTTTCATTTTCTCTGGCATAGAAACAGAGCTTTCCCTCCCCATCCCCTTCTTAACCCGCTGTCACTATCATAGTGGGCTGTGTTGATTACTTCTCATGCGGGCCTATTTTCTCCCTCACACCCATCCACATGATTGCTTGAACTCTATTTTCAAAAAGCTGGGTTTATTTTTCTATTTGATTGATTAGTGAGGAGGAAAACAACACTGGCATGGACTATCAGTGATCATGTGATAGGTGTTTTTTTAGGGAGATGAATATTTGACTGACTCTTACTGTGTGCACGCTCTTATGTCCCCTCTTTTTTCTCTCTCTTTTCTCTCTCTTACATATCTTTCAGCTCCCTTTGTTATTCTCCCAAATGAAATTGTATACATGCTCATCTTATGTCTTAATTTTACCGCACAGCCTCGTTTTTCCCTCTAAAAATAATTTAACTTTGGGGTTTTATTGTCCAATTCCATTTTGGTCATAGTAATGCCTTTTTGATACAGGATAACTGGTTTCATCAACAGCTTCAATTTTATATATAAAAGTAGTGTCTGGCTTTAAGCCCAAGATTTTCCTCCTCTCACACAGTAATCGGTATGCTCTCAGCCAGGGTCACAGCAGGGTGAGATGGGAAGGCTGACTGACTGACTGACTGGGTGGTTCATACCTTTTTTTAATGTTATTGTTCTTTTGCCAACAGCACAATTAGAGACTGCATCATAACAGAGACTCATTAAAAAGATGTGAGAATGCAGCTCGGTATGTCTGGTGTCAACATGACAGGTCAGGCATGCCAACAGGCAATTACAGGCATGAAAAGTAAAAAGGATCCTTCTACGATTTCTCTTGAAAATATCTGTCAATTAGAGGCATGTGACAGTGGAAAAAAACATGTCATACGGTTTGGCTAAGCATTAATTAAAACTATGTATACGCTCGAATTACCTTTTCTGAATTGATATCTATTGTATCCATTAGGCATGAAATTCATGAATCAGTCAATGAGATGCCCTTATATCAAAAGAGAAAACTAAACCACTGAATGGACACAGACAAAGTGGCACCTCACAGGTATAATGGTTTGCTTTTAATACCGTAAACCATAAAAAGGAAACATTAAATCTGCTCTCAAGACACCTTTAAAATCCTCCTCCCTCATCATCCAATTTCTATAAAGTATCCCTACAGTTTTACAGTACATTACTACTGAAAGTATTGCACGGTATAGCATTTCTCTAATGTATGTTTACTGAGATACAGAGCACCATTGGGATACAGCAGATCAAGCAGAGTATTGGAGATCTATGTAATGATCTTTTCAGTCTGTGTAGCACCAAATCTCATTGATATACTGCTCACACATCTATAAATATGATGCTCTCTCACAAGCCCAGGCAATGGGATCGTTGTCAGTTAGAATTACTGGGAGCACTGCGCATGCATTGTGCCCTGTAACCCCATTCACATTATTGTATGCTGCAAACTGTGAGCACAGATTAGACTGCGTTACATGAGAAGAAAATAGGATTTCACCTCCTCAGAGCACTGATGTGAAATTTTCTTGGCCATTTCAGAGGATAATAATCATGTTTCTCTTGTATGCAAAAGGAGATGGGCTCTACAAAGAGTTAAAAGTAAGCAGTTGGCACTTGTGTGTATTTATCATTTGATAACTAATAAGACTGTGTGACAAACCATTTAATGTCATATCTTACACCTGAAATCACACACTCATCAGTCAGGATCAAAAAGCAAGTGTAGCATTGAAAACCTCAGTGTCTGAAGCCTGTATATTGATGAACTTCACACAAACCTTTCTCATTACATCTGAGCTCATCGAGAACATTACCTCCCTTCTCTGTCTCGCTCCCTCACTCTCTCTTAATTCTCCACCATCTCCCTCTTTAGGATGCATATTAGATTAAAGATTTTATTGTCACACTCAATGCACT